CATTTTTTCCTCACATTATCCTCACGAGTTACACAATCTACCTTAGGCCTGCGCAGACACATTTCACTAATAGGGGAGGTAGAAATTTCCTATCAGGTAAGGATGTTGTGATGAATGTAAAGGAGAAGATATTTAAGAGAAAAATAACTCAGTGGTAACCATTAATCGAGTCCTCCCTGTCTTTCCCTGGATCCCTCTTTCATCTTGCTTGACCTAATCCTCTGAATCACATTCAATAAGAGAAGTGAAGACAATATAGAAGGCACCGAGCATCTGCTGTGATTAATACAGCCTTCACACATGGCTGAGGTGCTCATTACAGAGCTGCCACTCTTTCCTTTGGGGGAATTAAAAAGGTGCAGCCTACAGGATCTGCCCTGTGGGCACCCTTGGAAGTCCCTATGAGATGCCCTTGCCAGCCTTGAAAGAATGTGTAGAACTTCATGTCCCTAAATTCTTTTGTCACTCCCTAGAAATCACATTGGAGGACAATTGCTACCCTTTCCTCTTTGAACAAATTGTGAGAGTGATGAACCAGAGTCATTCTGAATCTTGAGGATCATCAAGAGGGACACCAGACTTCAGTGAGCATTTATGTTTAATGTTAAGATTCCCTGAGCATGTTGGTGCTCAATACTGGCCACATGTAAGCCAGGGTGACAGACAGACAGCAAGCAACACTACAACCAATCAGACTGTGGGTGAGGCTTGGACGGGGTGCAGAAAAGGATTGGGACACAAAGAGGGAGCACTCAGAAAGACCCGTCTACCCCACAGCTCAAGCTTGTACTTTCACAGGTAGCCACAGACAACCACCATGTTGTGAAAGAGTTCTTGTGTGAGCTCAACTTCTAAAACATGTAGATTCTGACTCATTTCAAGGAGCATCATTCAGTGAGCATGGGGGAAAGGGCAATGTTATGAGTTTAAAGATTTTTGGGGGGGATTTTGATGGTATTGGTTTTACTCAAGGCTAGCTCAGTGAACCAAGGACATTATTGGGGTTACTTTCAGGAGTGTGGGTGACTCAAAGGCAGCTGTATCACCTGTATCACCACGAAGTCCACTTAGTATGGTGATCACTAGAGTTCCCTGCACAACTTGCAGGCAGTTCCACTAAAGATACCCTCCCGTCGGCAATTGTTCCTGCTCATAGGGAGTTACTGCTCATTGGGGAGGGGCCTTGAGAGTCTTCTGGCTCTCTTGGGTGTTTTGTTACCCCCACCACCTCTCTTTCCACAAGGGAAATAGCTAAACAAGCAGGCTTTGATGAGGGCATTTTCTGTCCATATTGACTGCAGAGCCCAACTATCATTTCAGAAATGGTGTTGGGTGGGACTTGCCCTCAGAGAGGTTCTAGACCTGGCCCTATCACCAACCCAATGTCTGATTTTAGATGGGTTAGATAACCTGTATTTTTTTTTGGATTTTAATTCTTTCTGGTAGAACAGGTGTCTTCTGAGATTGCCTCGTTGTTGGCTTCTTCATCCATCAGTTCTGCTATGCAGTTGTTGAATCCCTCCTCTTAGGATCTGATGGATTCAATAATTAAAGATTAGAAACCTGTATTGGGGCAATGGGGAAATGGCTAAGTGGACAAAGTGCTTACTATGGAAGCACAAGGACCTGAATTTGGACCTCTACCATCCATGTAAGAAGCTGGGTGTTTGCTTATAATCCCAAATGCTGGGGGTGGGGTGAGACAGAAGGACCCCCAGCGTTGGTTGGCCAACCAGCCTACTCAATCAGTGAGCTCCAGTTTCAGTGAGAGACCTTGTCTCAAACAACAAAACAAACTAACAAACAAAAACAATGTGAAAAGCAATGGAGGAAGACATCTGGCAACAATGTTTGGCTTTCACATGTGCACACTTGGGGGAGAGTGCTTTCTTGCACATATGTACACACACACAAACACACACACGTATGCATGAGTATACACACACACACACACACACACACACACACACACACACACACACACACACACACACAAAATCTGCATTATTCTTAGTCCAAAAAACTGGGTGTTTGGAACAACAGACATCTATTGTCTCCTGTTTCTGCAGGTCGGATATCCAAAAGCAACATGTTGGCAGAGCTGGTTCCCTAACATCATAAACTAAAGTAACATCAGAGCACTGTGTAACTCCTCATAAAGACTATGAGAGAAAACCTGCTCTATGCATCCTGCAGAGCTCCTACTGGTTTGCTGACAGTGTTTGGCATTCTTGGTTGGCAGCATCACTGCCGTCTCTATCTTCATCATCTCATTTCTGAATAAAGTCACATGTAGGGTATCTTAGTAATTTATTTTCTTTGACTATAAATGAGTACCATAAGCTGGGTATTTATGAATGATAAATATTTTCTTAGCTCATGATTCTTTTTTTTTTCCTGGAGCTGAGGACCGAACCCAGGGTCTTGTGCTTGCTAGGCAAGCCTCTAACACTGAGCTAATTCCCCAACCCCTTGGCTCATGATTCTTGATGAGAAGTTCAAGGGCATATTTCTGGCCCCTGTTGAAGACCTCCTCAGGGTATATCATAATGAAGCAGGGGCATCTTATGATGAGACAGGGTGAGGTGCTGGCTAGTCTCTTTTCCTCTTTATATAGAACCATTAATGTCATCACAGGGCTCTACCCTCTTGACCTCCTCTGATCCTAATTGCTTTCCCAAGGCCTCAGTCCCAAATTCCATCAACATTGGACTTTGAGGACTAGGTTCCAGGACACATTTGGAGGGACATATTCAAATCATAGCATAAGGGATCTAGCATATAAATTTGGGATGGGATGCTCAATAAAACATGTGACAATGTCCAGATGAAAAAACGTTACTAAGATGAGCCAAAAGTTCCCTGCAATTGAGTTGTGTGTCCATGCCAGTCAGGAATATGTGTTGCTGACCATAAAGCCCATGAAGTGTGTGCTGGAAAAGACCTTATGAAAGGCTAGGCATTTCTGGCTCCAGGGGGACCCTGGCCTAGGAAAGACACCACATCACACAGCACACTGCCCTTTCGATGGCCCTGCCCCAGTGTTGAGCATAAGCAGTGAAATTCGGTGAGGTGTGTTCATTGGCCCACTCTCTCCTCAGTTTGAAGAGTCACTAGGGAACCAGCTCCAACCTGCTGCCTGGTAGCGCTTCCTCCTCACTGGATCTTACACAGCTTAGTTATCTTTTTTTAAAAATTCTTTTAACTTTTTTTGATTCTTTGGGGGTTTCATATAATGTATTCAGATCCCACTTATCTCCCTGTCCCCTCTTGTCTGCCCTCTGCCCTTGCCACCTCTCTCCCAAAACAAAACAAAATTTAAAAGAAAAACCAAAAACCAAACCAAAAAAACAAAACAAAAAAAATAGGAAGAAGAATCTCATTGTGGAAGCTGTAGTGTGGCCCATTGAGTCACACAGTTTACGCTTTAATCCATTCATCTTTACTTGCAAGTAGCAGGGCCAGTTCTCCTGATCTCAGGTCCTCAGAACTGGCTCATTCACACTCACACAACCAGGGCCAGCTCTCCTGTTTTGCCCAGGCGAGGTGCAGGGCCCCCTCTCCTGATTACTATAGGGGTAATATAAGTAGGGGGATCAGCTCTCCTGCTCTCATGTCCCCAGAGCTGGCTCACCTTGTGCTGCCCAGGTGAGGTGCATGCCTGTGGTGAGGTGTGGGGCCATCTTTCCCTAGTGCAGGGGATGGGGGTTGGGGGCAGTTCTTACCTGAGAAGTGAGACAAGCTCTCCCGCTGCGGGCTCCAGTGAGGGGCAGGGGCAGCTATCTCAGGGCCAGTGAAGGGTGGGGCTGGCTCAGGACAGCATGATTCCAATGCGCCCCCTTGAGCTAACACAGGCCAGGAACATCATCAAAGACCACATAGACCCAGACATGGCCCTCAGAACAGCTTAGTTATTTTATCCCACTCTTAGTTAATCCCATTAAGAGTGGGGTAATTTTGAAAATTGATCTATAGACTATTTAGCAAGTCAATAATAGATCTAAAATTGCATACACATATATGTTGTGGAGTATTATTTTAAGATGTGTTACATTTGTTTATGCTATGGAACATTTGTTCAATGATGCAGATATGTTGCATTCTTTCATGTTTAACTCTGTAAAGCTGTGTTACTTTGCCTGTCTATAGCAAGGCAGGAAAAAGGATAGGTGAGGTGGTAGGCAGAGAGAATAAATAGGAGGAGAAATCTGAGAGAATGTTGGAAGAACAAAAAAAGAAGGGGCCAGCTACCCAGCCACAAAGCCAGACATGGAATAAGAAGGAAAGAAAAAGATATACAGAAGTAGAGAAAGATAAAAATCCAGAGGCAAAAAGTAGATGGGATAATTTAAGTTAAGAAAAGCTGGCTAGAAACAAGCCAAGCTAAGGCCAGGCATTTATAAGAAAGAATAAGAATAAATAAGTGTGACTTATTTGGAAGCTGAGTGGTGGGCTCCCCAAAGAGACAAAGAATAAAGAGCAAAGAGCAACAACAATAACACATATAAGTTAAAAATCAGTATGCTGCCTGTGATGACTGGTGTTTTAAATTTGAGAGACTCCATAATCACCTGAGAGACCCACCTCTAGGCATGCCTGTGGGAGATTGTCTTGATTATGTTAATTGAAATGGGAAGACCCGTCATATTGTGGGCATGACCAGTTCCTGGCTGTAGTGGGTAGCTGTTCCAGCTTAGACCTGGAAGTACTACCCCTAGTGAGGCTTCTGGTAACCGCCATGCCTGCCTATGACCTGCCCCTGAGGGGGTTGCTGAGATGGGAGCCCTTAAGACCAGAGATCCGGATGTGCTGGCCCTCTTGGTTTCTGGTGATCCTGGATGCTGGATGGCAGATTAAGTCAGAGTTCTCCAGAGAACTCTGCTGGGCTGTACCTCACCTCTCCTGGTTCTTATAACCAACTGCTTTACTGGCTGTAAGTTACCCCAAAATAAACTTCCTTTTTAACTACGTGGAGTTGCCTTGATAAATCCCCACATTACCTGGGCAGAAGATCCTGTGCTGTATAAAATGGAGAAAGGGAGCTGAGTACTAAGATGCACCGGTCTTTCTTTGCTTCCTGATGTGACCAGTTGCTCCAGACACCCGCTACCTTGTCTTCCCTGCAGTGATGGACTGCATCTTGGAACTGTAAGCCAAAGAAAACTCTCCTTAAGTTGCTCATCATGCCGGGATATTTTATCACAGCAACAGAAAAATTAACAAACATGTTGCCTAACTGTAACATAAAGAAAATAAATTAGTAATGGAATATTTCAATATGTAAATGTATGGGTGAGTGTATTGGAAAGTACTCCAAGTGTTATTCTACTGCTTTCCTTACATTTCTTTTCCTTCCTTCCTTCCTTCCTTCCTTCCTCCCTCCCTCCCTCCCTCCCTCCCTCCCTCCCTCCCTCCC